TATGTAACTCTGTTACTTACAATGTATCACAAATATTTTGCCAATGCCTTTCATATTCATCATATTTACAATTCTTCATCAATAAAAATTTTTCAATCAAAATTCTATCTGTGATCTTCTTTAAGACAACTTCATCATCTATTCTTGGAACATTCTTATATTTACTGGCAAAAATAAATTGTTTTACAATAAGTATTAAAAGGTTTTGAAATTTATAAACATTCATATTTTCATATTTACCAAATAGTATTGCTTGTTTATCAAAACAACAATGAATATTAAACTTATTTAAAATCCATTCTTCAATAGTACACCAGAGTTCTTTTACATGGAAACATTCAACAAATAAATGATCAATTGTTTCTATGTCACTTCTGCAGAAACTACATGCTGGAGAATCGATCAATTTTAGTCTAAAAAGATAATAATTAGTTGGGATGATTCTATGTAAGATTTGAAACTGTAGCCATTGAAGTTTAGATTCTTGGGTTATTTTAAAAGGAAGTTCAAATATTTTAGCCCAGTCTGCCTCATCGAAGATAAATCTGTTTTCTCTCCATTTTTTGATTGAGTTAGCTGGCTCTTTCTTTTTACTTATAAATATGTTATACATATCCTTACAACCTTTATCATGTTTATAAAATATAAAAATGGAATTTGGAAGATGTGGTCCAATCAACTTAGCATTTTTAATTTCATCACAGTTTATATTTTTCAGTCTATCTAACACTGCTATTCTAAGACCATTATAATCAACAAAATTTGTTTTCACTTTCAAGTTTATTAATGAGTCGAGACTTATGAAACTACCCTCGTTGTTAAAGAGGTCAGTAAGAAAAACAATGCCTTCATTAAAATAGTTTTTCCAAAAAAAAGATTTATTATTAATTTTAATCCTTGGATTATTCCATATATGTTCAAAGAGCACATGCCTGTCCTTTTCTTGATTTATTATAGTTAACCTTGCCCAGCTTGACAGAACTTCTTTCCAAAAAACATTATTTAATCTTGTTGAGAGATTCAGAATATAATCAGAACCCCTTATCCAAAGATTGTTTATATCTACTTTTAGTTCAGCTTCCAATAATTTTACCCAGTTTGCTTGTGAGTGGATAAGTCTTCTAATCCAACTTGATTTAAGGGCAGAAATGAATTCTGTATAATCAATCATGTTTAGACCTCCATATTTATAATCCTGGATTATAACATTTTTCTTTACCTTGTGAGTTTTGCTACCCCAAAGAAAATTATACATTTCAGTCTCAAACATCTTCAAAAAGTCTGACTTAGGGTTTGGTAAAGTAAGAATTAAATGGTTTAATTTGGGTAATATTAAAGTTTTAATTTTGGTAATATTAAAGTTTTAATTACTGTTAACCTTCCAATTGGGGTAAGTTTCCTTAAACTCCACTTACGTAACAAAGTTTTGATTTCATTTAGCTTTATGGAATAATTAAGATCAAGCATTTCATTCAAGTTTACTGAAAATTTTATTCCAAGAAGATCAAATATTGAATTTTCCCAGTCAAGCTTCCACCTTGAGTGATGAAATACATCCCTTGAAAATTTTTTACTTCCAATCCATATCATTTTAGTTTTTAAGAAATTTATTTTTAAGCCTGATATATTAGCAAAATAATCTAATTCTCGGAGAATACCATCCATAGATCTTGGTGAACCATCTGAGATAAGAGAAGTATCATCAGCATATTGAGAGAGTTTGTACTCTTCACCCTCAATTGTTATACCTTTGATATCTTGATTATTACGAATTAAGATTCCAAGAATTTCAGCACATAACAAAAAGAGATAAGGTGAGATCGGATCACCTTGTCTGCATCCTCTTTGGGGGAAAAGATAATCTGAAGTAAATCCATTTTGTATAACACATGATTTAATACCATTATAGAAGGTTCTAATCCAATTTTTAAAAGAGGGTCCAAAATTAAAAAAGTCAAGGGTTTGATATATAAAGTTCCATGAAATTGTATCAAAAGCCTTTTCGAAGTCAATTAACATCAAAAGACCAGGTATTTGATTATATTCTGTATAATGCATTATATCATATATCAGTCTAATATTCTCTCCAATAAATCTACCTTTTATAAATCCAGTTTGGTCTCTATTTATCAATTTGCCCAATTTAGTTTTCATTCGTTCCGCGATGCATCCTGATGCTATTTTATAAACAACATTTAAAAGACTAATGGGTCGCCAGTTTTTTAGAAATTGTTTTGGCTTTCCTGTTTTTGGGATACAAGTAATGATTCCTAATTTATTTGAGTCTGAGAATTGAAGTTTTTCATTTGAATTATTTATTGCTCTTGTAATAAAGGAGCCAATATCTTTCCAGAAAAATTTGAAAAATTCACATGTAAATCCATCCGGTCCTGGACTTTTGTCATTTTTCATTTGTTTTAAGAAGTTTAAAACTTCAAAATTTGTTACAGGACCTTCCAGACTGTTTGATTCTTCTCTACTTAATTTGGGAATATCATAATCTTTAAGTCTGTCATGAATATTTTCAGAATCTACATTTTCCCTTTTCTCATATATAAGTTATCATAGAAAGCTTTCGTTTCATTTAATATCTCGCTTTGGGAAGAAACAATTAATCCATTGTCCTTTTCTATTTTAGGTATTTGCTTACTTACGTAGTTTCTTGATTCTAAACTTACAAAATATTTTGAGGGTTTTTCTCCCTCCTCAATCCATTTGACCTTTGACCTTATACATTGACCTTTAAATTTTATGTTCTTTATTTCTTCTACTTCTCTTTTCTTTTCTTCAAGTTCATTAATTAACTGATCTGTTAAATTCTGCTCTAATTCTAATATTTCTCTCTCTAACTGTTGTTCTCTTTCGAAAGTTTTCTTTTTTTTATATGTTGAAAATGAAATTGATTTTCCTCTTATTTCCATTACCAAAATATCAAGAAAGAGTTGGTCACTAATGGTGAGTTGAATAGTATCATTCTCGATGCAACTTATTTTTTCCATATTATATACTGGGCAAGAATACTGGATTTTAACATCCTTAATCTTACATTTTATTTGTTCAACATATTCTTTTTCGTGCAACAGGGAATTATTGAATTTCCAGAAACCCTTTCCCTTTTTAAATTCATTTAATTTACAATGTAATAGAACTAAGTGAATATATCAGAACAATAACTATTTTCAAACTTGACACATGGATTCATAGCTAGCATGGATTCTGTTATCAGGAAAAAGTCAAGTCTAGCTTGTTTGAGTGGATTTTTTCGTCTCCAGGTAAACCTTTTTAAAACTGGATTATCTTCACGAAATACGTCCTTAAGGTTTAAAACATCCATAAGCTTCATTACTTCAAGTCTTGATTTCGGATTGTTTAAATTTTTGTAATTCATTGAATCCAAATCTTTATCAAAAACTAAATTAAAATCACCCCCTATAACAATTTTATGCGAGGAATGAATCTCCTCTATTTTATGGACTAAACTTATGTAAAAATTAGGTGTGTCAGAGTTTGGGCCATAAATATTTATTAGTAAAAAAGAGATATCCTCAATAAAGACATCCAAAATTAGAAAATTACCATCAGTATCCTTATATTCATTGACGATTTTTAATTCAAAGTTGTTGTTAAAGAGGATAGCAACTTGCCTTTGGTATTGGACTTGAATGAACTAAAAAATGCTTTATATCCCCACTGTGCTCTTATCATATTTTCATCTTTTTCTACAAAATGGGTATCTTGTAAAAAGTAAATATTGTAATTCTTAGCTTTTAAGTTCTTTAGCACATCTCTTCTTTTATGAATGTTACCAAGGCCTTGACAATTTACTGAGAGTATTTTTAGGCTGTTATCATTATTATAAACCATAATATTCTAAGAAAAAAATGATGAAAACATTGCTGACCCCCTGATAGACAGAAACAGAAGAAAAAAACAAAAAATAAAAAAGGTGTATATACAAAAATGTGTGGGTTGCCTGAGAATACATGCCTTGTTGATTTTGAGAGTAGAAAGTTTATACCAAAAACAGTTTATAATTGATATTTCTTAAGAGTTAACATTAAACATCTCTTAAAAGAATGAGAAAGGGTTTACAGGTGTAGGAAATACAATATACATGGTCTATTCTATTTGTAGGAAATATATGAATCTACTGACAGGTTGTGAATTAAAATTTATTAATATATATTTTATTCTCTTATGAGGGAAACCACTAAATGTAATGTAATCACAACTTGTCCGTCTTTTTAATTAATTAGGTGATGTATCTATTAAGTAACCAAAAAGACAATGTATACAGATTCCTATAAATTATGTGACATGTTAAGTAGAAAAATTAAACTTACATATCGCCTACAGTTGAGCTGATAAAAAGAAATACACAACTTATTTCAGGAAAGGCATAAGGTAAGCAAGAACAGGAAATAGTATGTTTCAAAAACTGCCGGAATATTATTGGCTGGAAGAAAGAAATCCAGGAATACTTGAAAATTCATAAAAAATGTATTACACATTTTACCTTTAGATCACATTTAAAAAATAATTTCAGATCAAGACCAGAACAGTTCTAGAGTCAAAAATGTTACTGTGTTTATTTTTCATGTTTTTAAACTGAAGTTGGTAAATGTTTTACCGCAAAGACCTGCTTCTTTAATATGGGAAAACCGACGAAGTCCATATTGTTTCCATGCCATCGAGAGACAACCACCAGTACATTGTTAACTTTATTTCCAGCCAGCAGTTTTAATAGTAGCATTCCCGCACCGTGTTCTCCGTCATCATTTGATCCTTCATGGATTATACCATCACTGTTTGTGAAGCGATAAGCATAGACGTTATGGCTCGCCCTGGGTACGGTTTCGATACGCATGATTTCAACTAATGATCGTTTATCTGTTGATAAGAATCGACTTGGGTTGAATGCGCAATAAACCGGTTTCCGTTGTCCTCAATTGACTTTCCAGGGTTAACGGTGATCTTTGACTACGTCGCTGGAAATCACCTCATCTGCCGTTTGGAAGAGATCCTACTTTCTCTCTGTAGATTGAATTACTCTGGGTAAAGATAAGCCTGTCCCCCTTCATTTTCGTCTCGATATTTCGTTCTGCATATTTTCTTTGAACTTCATACAGCTGTTTCGTCGTTCCGTATCTCCTCTGGTTGTTGTTGGGCAATTCTTATGTCCGATTTTTTTTTTTTAGAACTTTTATGTGTTTCATAACAAGGTCTTTTTGTGCTTTATCGGCAAATTGCACACAAACTGGTCTCGGAAATTTTCGTTGAGCATCGTATTCTCCCATTCGGAAGAGTTTCTGTATTTGTAATTCATCAACTGCTGTCTCCCCCATGTTCATCTCTGATATGAATACATTTCTTAGAATTTGCGCAAGGTTCTTCGTGTCTTCCTTCTTGGGGCCTTTTTCCTGCAGACCACTAACAATGATGTTATTCTCCATTGACCTTGCCTTGAGATCAACTATTTGGTTACTTTGTGAATTTACACGGTATTCAAGACGAACTACATAATCCTTGAGTCTGTTCATTTCACGTTCCATTTTTTTCTGGTTATCCTAGTCTTGCTCACAAGGTATATTGTGTCATTAGCCTGCTCTTGAACAGTTTCAAGTCTTTCTTGAATGCCATTTTTGCTATATTTCTTTCGTAATTTCATCTAAGTGTCGACCTTGTCCATCTGAAGCCGTAACATAAAATTCGCCAAAGTAGTCTGAATACTTGCAATGCCCTGCATTATATCCCTTAACTGAAAATCTTCCGGTTTCTGATCACTTTGATCACCTTGCTCCATACTCTCGTCAGTACTGTCCATTTTATCTAGTGCCCGTTTCTTGGAACATCCGACATTGTTAAATGTATGTTCATAAACAGAATGAGTATCACTCACCAGGTAAATACCATTGACTTACCGAAAATACACATAAAGGTTTTCCCGATGTTTATCGTTAATTTTCCTCTATAGGTTGTCACACAATACTTAATTCATTATCTTAATTAAAGTTGCTGCATATTTGGGGGTTCTGATTTTAAGTTATTTCAAGTTTTTAGGTAAAAACTTTCCTCTCAGAAATTTGTGGTTGTCTACATGTCGGGCATGCGCAGAAAAAAAAAAAAAAAAAAAAAAAGTTGTTTCATTAAAGTTTAATTTCATTGAAGCTATCACACCTATTTGATAGATCAGTCCAAAGGAAAGGCACGAATATTTACTCGTGCTGTTTGGTGCCTAGATTATGAATAGATTAGATTATGATTAAAGTAAGGTTTAGGTTCCCATCATAGATTATGAATAGTGACCCGCCTTTTATGATTCTTAGACAGGTGTACTGTTGCAGGTGTACTGTATACACAACTATATTTAGAGCAGTATTCAAAATTTATTAGTTTTTCAAGAAACGTAACCACTGTGTTTCCCATGCACACTTGTGTCATATTAAACTAATACAAAAGAAAGAAATAAGAAAACCTTTTTTAAATAAGATCGAATAATGGAGTTTATATAAACATTCTTTTCTCAATAATCTGATTCAAGTTATTGAACATAAATGGTACCTGATACCTTGAGGTAGGGTCAATCATGTTTTTCGGCTGAACCATTTCAACGTTTTCGTGAAAGTGTAACTAATCAGCATAGTTCACTTTGGGGATAAACGAAAAATAAAAAAAAGTTTAAAATTATGGTCACTTCACTGCTTTTGTGTTACTTACCTATATAATGTTTACAATGAGTTAAATATATTTTCTAAACCTCGAATTAAGGCTAGAAGAACATTCTTTTTTCTTAATTTCATTGAAGGATTTACATCTATTTTAATAGATCAGTCCAAAGAAAAGGCACAAAGATTTTGTCGTGGCGTTTGGTGCCTTCTATAATTTTTAGACAGGTGTACTTTTGCAAAAGTATAGACAAGTACATTTAGAGCCGTACTCCCAATAGCGAAAGAAAAAAAGGCGCCACGATTTACTCGTGACGTTATGCGGGAAATTGTGAATGGCCTGCACATGGGCGTAGAAAGGAAATTGAAAGGGGGGTGGGCTAATCGAAAGTGAGGGGGCTGAAGCAATAAAAAAAAGTAAATCCCAATTTTAATACCTATATAATATCTGTTTTTCCGACGCCAATGGAGATTGACGAGTGCAGAAGTAAATAGAAGTGCAGAGAAAGATTATTTCAACATGCCTTTATATGAAATCGCATGGGAAAGAGTTAAGTTCATATAGAATAAATGAAGTAAAAGCCAGCTCCATTCGATAATTCTACACCAGTGGCGGATTCAGGATTCTTGAGAAAAAAAAGGACCAGTTTGTGGTCAGGATAGGGGCCCATAGCCATACCAAACATATTATTTATTAAATCTATATATATTTTGGACACATACTTGAGAGATCAGGACTAGAGAGAACTGTAGCTCTCCAGTAAAATATATTGACAGACCGGAGAGCTACAGTGCCACCCATTGAAAAAGAAAGTGTATATTCATTGCGACCAGGGTTCAATCCTCCTTGTGACCAAACTTTTGAATCACTTTTCAGCTCGATTTTACGAGGTTTTTTTTTCCTGAATCGGACGGAAGACCTCTCGTTGCTCGCAACGAGATCGTATCTAGTTATTATTATTATTCTTTTTTCATAGTACAGCAGATATCTCAGCTATGCGTGTACAGATTTCAAAGATTTTCTCGAGGAAATATGCATCATGAGAATATCTCCAGATGTGTTTTTCATTTTTTCAAAATTCACTTCCGTTCTGGCGGTTTTGGGGATTTTTGTATTTTTTAAAAGGCATTTTGTCCAGCAGTTTTCTCGAGAACGGATAAAGATATGACAGTGAAACTCACTGAGGTGATAGAACATCGAACTCCGTTATGGGCAACGACCTTTATTTTTCGTCGTCGGCACTTCCGGTCGCAAACGGAAGTGAATTCAAAACGTCCCAATTTTCAACATTTTTGTTTTTCAATATTTTTCTTTAGTATTTACATGGTTTATAGTGTGTCTTATGAGAATTCCAAATATGTGTTCAGTATTTGATGTGTGCATTTATTGAAAAGATATGACCGAACCAAACTTTGTCTCACTGTCGGGGGTTCAATCCCACTGGAGGCGTTTCAAAATTTTTTCTTTGTTTATGTCTTTTTTCAGCTGCATATGACTTTTATTTCTTTTATAACACGTATCGATTATTTTCCGATTTTTAAAAGCGCTTCAAACTTCGAAGCTTTAATTCTTCCTGGCTTATTTTCAAGGAAAGCGCCTGGTAAGCGCCTAAAAAATACGTTCTGAAATCTATTTCTTGGGATTACGCAGCATAGAACTCTTACGAAAAGTGAGTCGAAGACCGCTTGTTGCTTTAGCAACAAGAACATATAGTTATTATTATTTTTCTTCTCGGGAAAATTTTGTCCGCGAATGATCTCGTAGACTACACATCCAATTTAGGTGAAATGTTTTTAGGGTCAGTAGACATGTTATGTATATTTGCGGAATCAAGGTCATTTTGCGCGCACGTGCTTGCAAGAGCGCGCACGTGCAAAAGTTGAAATGGCCAATATATAATGGATAAAACCGTAACTTTTCTATTTTTTAACAAAATGTTTTGAAACTGATAATGTAAGGATATATTAGTAGTATGCACAAGATGACATGGTCAAAATAACAACATCGCACGCGCATGCACATGCGCTTTGCTCTGATTGGCTGAAACTTAAGTCTCTATATCTTTCTTGTTTTTTTGATAAAATCATTTGAAATTTTGAACATAGTCATACACTAGGGAGATCTACAGCCTGTTATATTAGAATTATCATGAAAGCATGTGCATGCACGTGTGCTTGCAAGAGCTTGCACGTGCAACATGAAAAATGTCCAACATAATTGATACAGACGTAACTTTTTAAATTATTGATGAAATGCTTTGAAACTCATATTATAAGTAT